TGTCCTGCTGGACTGCAGCAAAGTGCTGCTGTCGCGGACCAGTTCGTGCCTTCTCCACATAGGTCGGCTGCCATGTTGATTTCTCGTGTGCAGCTGACCTGTTGGTCTTGATGATCTCTCTCGCCTTGTTGATGATCTCTGCGAAAGTGTGGTACTGCTCGCGATCACCAAGTGCGAGGCTCAGAGCGGCGCATGACCTGTTGTAGAACTCACGGCGCAGATGCGGAAATGGCAAGTTCAGATCGAGCGTGGCCACGATCTTCTGCCAATCCGCGAGCCAGTCACGTGTCGGTGTGCTCCCTTGAGCCATCGCGAAGATGCGGTTGATGGCGAGCGCAGGTGCGTCATCCACTATGAACCGCTTCTTCCATTCCTTTGCCATATCCTCCCAGGTGACCTTCTTATGCAGGTCTGAAACCTGGACGCCGTGGATGGTTGCCATGTGGCTGAGCCAGATCTGACATCCTCCCTTGGTGTTGATGAATAGAGCACTGATGAACAAATGGTTAGGGACCTCGTGGATCCCCAACTCCGTTGTAAATCCTTACCACTAGACGACCGGGTCTTGATGTATGTAGTCATCAAATTTCTCGATCCGGAACGTCGGCATCTTGTATGGCCTTGCCGAGCTGTTGTTCTGGCTGTGGTCGGTCGGCTGTTGCTGACTGATCTTAGTGTCCAGCAACTCGAACCGCTGGCTGATGGTGGCCGGCTCTGTGAAGGCACTTATGTCTCCTAGCATTGCCACTACGTGGTCAACGCGTTCCTCCAGTTGGCGGCTAGAGGATGCACTGCTGGAAGCCCCAGCATCTGGTCCTGGGACAGCCTGTTCCAGGTCCAGTACACGGGCATCCAGTGCCCGTGTGGCATCCTCGTGCTGAGTCTTATGGTTCCGCACGGCCCGCTGGAGGTTCGCCAGCTCGGACTGTAGGTGGTTACAAGTAGAAACCAACCTGGTCACGAGCTTGGCCATGAACTCCTTATGCTTCTATTCCGGTGTTGGTTCGTCGCCGTTCGGTTCAAAGTGCCAGAACTTGAGTCTGTCGATGTTGCTGGCTTCATGCTGCTGCAGCAGATCCTGGGCTTCCTTGCGGCGAGCCTGGACATCTGCGTCTGCTTCGGCCTGTAGCCGCAGCTTCTCTGCTGTTGCCTCTTCTTCAGCCTGTAGCTGGGCAGCCTTGACTGCCAGCTGGCGTTGTTCCTCAGCCTTGATTGCAGCGAGCTGAGCCTGGAAGCGCTTTTTGTAGTCGGCAATGAGCTCATTGGCCAATTGGCCTGGCAGGCCCGTCATGTTGCTGACGTGGCACTGCTTATGTGGCACTATGTCTGACGTGTCACTGTACCAACCCGAAAATGCATGCAAAGGGTGGGTGGGAGGGAACACGCAGGTAGGAAACCAAACCAACAATACTTTCCTCCGGCCCTAATCAACAGATAAAAATAAAATAAAATAAACGAGGACTACTTCCTTTTTTTTTTTTTTTGTATATCTATCGATCTACTATGAGTGAGACATGTCAGAAGAGTACTATGAACGAGATCTAGGCTAGGTTCCGCAAAGTTTCGCCTCTTGAAAAAAAAATTTTTTTGCGAAATGGAGTGAAGATGCGATTTTCAGAAAAGAACAAAATCCCGTTTCTGAGAATATGGCAATCTCCGAATATGCTTGACGAAGTGTTGGTAGGCTCCGCAAGATTTCGGTTTTCAAAAAAAAATTGCGAGATAGAATGGAAATTCGATTTTCAGAAAAGAATAATTTTGGTTTCCGAGAATATGACCACTTCTATCGTT